CCACAGCGAACTACCAAGTATGAAATGCAGATATCATATGAACGTTTTTATACCAACGGAATCATATTCTTTCCTTGAAATGTCATTTCAAGGATAAGTCTTGTTCAGAATCAGAATTTTTTTCCTATTAGTAGTGTTCGTAGCAATTATCTGGGGAAACCCTTGTATTTTCTACATAAGGAAATGGAGGCTCAGTCTGGTGAAGTAACTTGTTTCATGCTTTCCCCCTCTTATTAGATGGTACCAAAAATAACAGCTGCTGCCGTGAGATCTTAACAGGGGGAGGGCTGCTCTATTCTCGTGAAAACAACGTGGCTCACTGATGCTCCAGTAGCCGTTACTGATGTCAGAACCTTCAATCCTGGAGGATGTGACAGAGAGGTGCTGAAAAGGACACAGCCATCCCTCAGTGTCGACGGAGAAAATACGTGAATTCCTTCTAATGTGAACGTTTTCGCAGAATTACAATGGCTTTCTTGACTCTTTTGCCCTTTAGCCATTCCACAAAATCATATACACTGTTCTTTTAAACAGTGATGGAAAAGATTACTTGGCACCTTACTAGAAGGAAGAGTCACTGTTGGTAAAATCAATGTGGTGCAGACGGCTGATGTTTCATGAGTTGTCAAAAGGATGATTAAGAACAACAGCCAACGTTGACTGAGTTCTAGTGTAGGCCAAGCACCTATACTCAGCATTTTCTGGGCTTACCTTCTTGGCTTTAATCTTCATAAAAATCCTGTGAGCTATACAGCTGCTCTCTTTAAAATTTGTTTTTCTTCAAGCATTGCTCAGACACACAGAGAACAGTGACTACTATTGTGTTCATTTTATAGTCACCTAGAAAGTATCACAATCAGGATCCCTCAGATCTTTCTGATCCTCAGTTCAGATCCTTGCTTTTCATGCTACACTATATATGTGGTCTATGGAAGATGTCCTACTATTGGTCTGACTTTGATATAGATATTGTGGGAGGAATGCAAGGACAGGCAACAGAAAATGTGTTCTGATGTTATATTTCCATAATAATTACAGTTTTTTTTAAACTAAGATGCATAGGGGAAATGACATCATATGGATAGCATTGCCTTCAAAATTCTTACATGTGAACTTTTGGTGAAAAAGTCATATTTATTCTGCCTATGGACTTTTTCTTTTCATCCTTTAATTGATTATATAAAAAAGAAAATTTAAAAAATAATATAAAATCAACTTATCCCAAAATATATCTGACTAAATTTCAAGAAGCAATATTCCCTCAAATATATAATTTCTAACGTTAATAACAGAACACTGATATCCACCCTCATTCTCGAGAGCCTGGCACTGTGTTGGATACAGTCACCATGGCCAGCACTTAAAGAGAATGTCTCATCCATCTGGTTCTTATTCCAAACTTTAAACAGGTTAAACTGAATGAGTGGGTCAGGGGGTTGAGAGTAAGTACAGATTTTTAAATTTTTGTGTATTTTATGTGTTTAAAACATCTAAAGAGCCAAACTATTTTAATCAATTTAAATAGACAAGTATCAAATCAATAATAACAGAGAATTGGAAATATGACTATTCAGCCTGAATAACCACTAGACAGACTCTTAGTGACCCTGCCTGCAGACAGCCCAAGTCACTGACACAGGCACTGGAAAGCCAGGATGACAGTTAAGTCTCATCTTGCACGGAGCCCCCAACACATTGACAGGGGCTCCCTGGAGAGAGATTCTGCAGTGTGGAGAAAGATAACCAAAACTGCACCCAAGCTTGGTGAGTTTAAGCGCCATGATGACGGATTATTATTTGCATAGCAGGGGGAGTGTGACACACACACCAAGTGGTCACCATTTGTGGATAGATTTTTGTAAGTGCGAATGGGAAATTGTGACTAAAGCCTGGGCAGACACAGGGTGCTTCTCGTCAGGAGCTGAAAGGCTCCGAGGGTCCCGGCTTACTTTTGTTGCCCATGTGGCCCCAGCCTGTGATGTAGCAGTACGTGTCGGCCTCCAGCCACTGCTCCGGGCTGGGCAAGCAGACCGGGCGGACGTAGCTCGTGTCGTTGATGTCTCCATCCAGCTCGACGATGCTGATGTCGTAGTCCACCACCGCGCGGCTGTAGCGAGGGTGCAGGACGATGGTCTTCACCAAGCGCGTCTGCGTGAACGCCGACGGGTGGTCCAGGTTGCCGATGCCCAGCACCACTTTCCAGACGGCGGCGCTCTCTCTCCTAAAGCGGCAAAGTCAAGAGTCACTGGCATCTGAAACCCTAATTTATCTTTTGAAATTCATGTGTAATTTTTAAATATGTTACTTATGTAAATAATGGCTATTTCCACGTCTCCCTCCCACTGTATTCATATAGGAGGCACGTATGCAATGGCCTGAGTGATTAATAGACATATGGTTGTGGTGGAAAGCACAGCTCATGATTTCTGAATGGGGCTAGTCTCCAAGACAAAAGCTGTTCAGTGTTAAAGGCAGGCAGATAGTTGCTTGCTTCCCTGAATGAGCAAGAGAATGAAGAGTCACAAAGAAGAGAGAGAAGCACGAAAACAGGGACACAGCAAAAACTAAGAGATCTCTGCACGAAAGAGCAAGTGCCTCGGAAAAGTGTCAGATTGGCAGGGGAGCCTTCTACAGATCGCAAAGCCGAAGGTAACAAGGCCACTCACGACCTCTGACAGTCGGTCTCAGACTCCATCGTTTTTAACACTTGTCAGCCGTGTTTTAGTCAATTCCCAGCTTACAACCCTTTCTTCACATGGCGTCTAGGTCTTACCATGCTCCAGCACTTGCCGCGCTCTCGTCCGGCCTCCCTTCACTCCTCCAGGCTCCCCCCGCTGCTCTCAGAGCCTGCGCAGACGTGCTCAAGGACTCTACCCTCCAGCAACACCCTCGATTATTTCATCCAGCCAAGTGGTTTTAACGGCCACCCCCACCCTGATGACTCCCAAATGGGCATCTCCAGCTCCATCCTCCTCTCTGAGCTGCAGACTTGAACACCCAAGGGTCTATTCAACCCACACACTCAGATGTTCGATAATAACCAAGATTTACTGAGGGCTTGTCATGCCTCTTGCAATGTTTAAGCATCATTTTACAATGATTTTATACCTGTAACCACCAGATACCCCCTTGACTCTTCCCTTTCTCTTGATCCCAGCCGTGAACACAGCAGAAGTCTTCACCTTCAAGCATATCCTCCATCTCGTTTTCTTTTCTCCCCTCCCCTGTTGCAATCTTCATCTAAGCTACTCTCATCTCCTTGGCCCTGTCACTGGCCTCCCACATGGTGGGCCACCCCCACTGGACTCATTCCTCTTCTGGGTTCCCTCCTCTGCTCTCCTGTCTATATTAACTGCTCAAGGGCTCCTTCTAATCTTAAGCCCTATAATCCATTTTCCTCAAAACAGTCAGAATGATTTTTTGAAAATGAAAGTCCATCACCTGTTCATTATCTCCGAGGACTATTTATCTATTCTAGAGTCTTATCCCTGGTCCCTAAGGCCCTCCATGATATGCTCCATTCTAACCTCAAGGACTTTCTTTCTACCTTTGAACATGCCAAAGGCCTCCTCAACTCAGGGGCTCTCCTGCTGCCCCAGCTGTCATGTGGCTCCTGCTTTTACTCCTTGTCTTCCTCCAGGTCTAAAGTCAGGCATCCCCTAAGAGCTGTCCTCCCTGACCTCCCATCTAACCCTCCCTTATCCTCACTCCTCTATTCCTGACTCTGCTGCAATTTTCCTTTCTCATATTCACTGATGTCAGTGACATTGATGTAACGTTTGTCTATCTCTGTCTTCTCCCCCAGGATGTCATCTCTGGGAAGGCAGGTACTTTGCTGGCCTTGTTCACTGCTCTAACCACAGGGCCTGTGAATCCAGACTTACAGTTGTCTCTCAGCAAGTATTTGCTAATGATCACTCAGTGCAGTTGGTTTAAAGCATACATTAGTGGTGGACTCCAATCCCAAGGTATGTTTTTCATAACTCCCTCCGTCCCTTCCCTCATTCCCAGGTCCACTTCCACCAGGGTGGGGCAAGATCAAAGGCAGGGGCATTTACTGGCCATGGAGTCAGGGAAGGGGGGAGCTTTAACTGTGGACATTCCTTTATACCGTGAGTCAGCCACACCACCACTCTCCCCACTCGGGAGCTTGTGAACAATGTAGCTTGGACCATCCAGACTTGCTGTTTTTCAATCCATGCTGAACACTGAGTCACCTGGGAAGTTTTAAAAATGCTGATTCTCTGGGTGTCATCCCTGATCAATTGAGACAGAAGGTCTCAGGTCAGGAACTGAGGATGAATATTTGAAGAGTCTCTAAAGGAATGTCAGGAAATACCCCACCCTCCACCTCTCCTTTTTTTTTTTTTAAATTAAGTCATGGCTGTGTACATTAATACTATTGTGGGGTACAGTGTGTTGTTTCTATATACAATTTGGAATACTTTTGTGAGAGCCAAACTAGCTCCATTTTGTTGTTTACAGCACAGGTTCCATTCTTGGCTGTTTACAGCACAAGCCCCATTCCTGGCTGTTTACTGCATAAGTTCCATTCATAGCCCCTCCACCCCAACCTCTGCCAGTGAAACCTGCAGGGCCACTCCCTGCTGCCTCCCCCCACCCCAGGTTGCACAGCCACTGCGCTGTAAACTGAGTCACCTTAGGCAAATAGCTACTATAATAAACAATAAGTTTCTATTACCTTGAAATACAGGTAACCAGGTTGCACCAACTCTAGCCCCCGGTTAAGGGACCCCCCACCCCTCACCTGTACCAATCCAAATTCACCTTTACTAGTGAAATCATCAGCTAACAATGCAAATCCTCCTTTACTTCCTCCTTTACTAATGAAATCACCAACCACCAATCCGACCCTACCCCTCTTGCTTTCTGTACCCCATAAAAACTTCCTCCAACCCAGGTTCGGGGCTCGTCCTAGGCTTGCATGCCAGGAGAGTCCAGGCTTCCCAAGGCCTGAAATAAACTCATCTCATGCTTTTTACATCAGAGTGTGTCTCGGACTGTCTGTGGGGGTCTTTTGGGAGAATTTCGGGCATAACACTTCCATCCAACTGGTTAACAAATATCTGATGTACTCAACCCTATTATGAAACTAATTTATAGCTATCATAGGAAAATCATAACCCAATTTTAGCCCAAGAATATGGGGAAAGGGAGGGGAGGGGAGGGGGGAGGTGGAGTGGAGGGAGGGTGATTGGTCTTCTTTTTTTGGCATGTCTTTTTTCACCATCAGCACAGCAAAGATTCCAGACACTTAAGGTTTCAGGAGAGTCAAAAGGAGGGGCCGAGGGAGGCATGCAAACCGTTTTAAGCTTGTTGGGTACTTGGCCAGACTCTGCAATCAGACTCCTCCACACAGTCTTTTTTCCATTAAATAAAAAGGAATTTCAAAGCTACCAAAAGAGGAGTTGATGTAGAAATACAGATATATAGCAAATCCTCTATGCTAAAAACCGTGCTAGGGATCATAATAGTAAGTAAGAAAGACAAGATCCTGCCTCCATAAACTCTAGAACTGAGCAAGGATGGACAATCAAAAAACACCCATGATAGACTGCGGGAAGCCCCATCACACGAGCATTACAGGTTAATGCTCCAGAAGAATTATTTTTCATTATGTAAATTGTCGTTCAAAGAGCATCCTTTTCTTCCTTTTCTTTCTGTTTTCTTTCTCCTTCCTCCCTTTTTCTTTCTTCCATCCCTATCTCTCTTCTTTCCCTCCTTTCTGGTGTTCCTTCTTTTTTTATTCTGGGAGGCACAAGTGCATGACCATTTCAGAAATTCAGTTATGCACTTTGGATTCTATTGCTTAAGACATCTTAAACCAAGCAATAACTTATGTCAAGTTTCTGCCTTTTCAATAGCTTCTTCCCTTGAATTGAGTTACCAGGTTTGGGTTGTGACACTCGTCCATCTCCTTAAATCACAAGCAGTATTTCTAACAGTTGAATATTCCTAATTTTTTGTAACAAAATAAAATACATCAAAACCCCAGACTTAACTACTGGATTGGGGTAGTTCAAACCTGCCAGCCCTGGTGCATGTGGCCAGCACCCTAACCACTGAGCACAGGTGCTGAGCCTTTTTTTTCTTTTTAACAAAAGAAAGTTAATACTTATAATTAACCCCTGTGATAGAAACCGCCCTGTTTTACAAAACTCACTCCATAAATGGTATAGCTATTTGGTATTTTAAAAGAATTATCTCTAACAGTCAATGGGAATAGACTTTAGAATTGGGTACTGGCGAAGTAAATGTGTGATGCCGCTGGGGAAAGTGAGCACAGACAGGATCTGTCCACACGTCCGCTCATCCCAAGAACCATCTGCTTCTCAGTTCCAGAAATTTCTATCATATTTAAATGTCCAATGTGATCTGACCTTCCAATTGTCCAATAAAAGCCAAAGTTCTGTACTTCATGCAAAGTATACACAATTTTAAATGCTGGCTAACAATTTTTAAATGTCTACAGCTAACTAGACTGGCAGTCTGGATTCTTCACTTGTACACAATCTCTGCTCTATGGTTCCCCAAGTGTTTCTACACACTTTATTTCAAATGATCTTCATGCCAACTGTGAGATGTAAATAGGAATCCTTCTCCATTTTGGAGAAATGAAAGCAATGACTCGGAGCCAATGACTGACTCACGTAAAATCACAGAGACAGTGGGTGAGGATAACAGATCAAATCGCTGGTCCCTGGAACCCCTGTCCACTTACTATTAAACTTCTCTGTGACAGAAAGAAGGGTCCACAGGCATCGGTACAGGAATCAGGTTCAGACCACAGGAGGAAAAGCATGAGGAGGGATGAGACGCTGCGCTGAGTGGTAAGATGGCAGATGGGAGGAAGATATGTTCCCTTTCCCAAACATGTCTCCCCATGTAGTGGGGAGCTAGCCATCAGTGGTAAAATTACAGAAAGGACTTGTTTCAAGTTCCAAAAAAAAGCAAGAGAAGGGCATAGTCAAATGTGTATCCTAGACCTTCAAGAATCAGATTTCAGAATGTTTTGGAAAAAAGGTGGTTATGATACTATGTCCGGAGATTTCTTAAAGTGAGCGCAGATCAATACAGTTGGGCAGGGATAAGTGCCAAAGTCTGATGCTACCATCACAAAAACTGCAGTTCGTAGGAAAATGAAGACTCAGCTAAACAGTCAATAAGACTACATCAGGATCACAGAGCTTTGAACTTGGA